ATGTATTGATAAAACTGTATATAGGATCGCGACGTGTTACACATATATAGATATACATATATACGTGTAACACGTCGCGATCCTATATACAGTTTTATCAATACATAGTAAAGTAAAAGGATAAGGCATAAAACGTAGGTGAGGCTCTGGGGAGCCGAAACTCCCCAGAATAGGAATGTTAGTTATCTATAAGTAAGTCGCAGTTGGAGATCGGTAATGGTGCTCCTGGCGATGGGGAGGAGTACTTTTATACCCCAGGGGACAATGGTCGAAAGTTCAATGAGGGTAGGTTGGTTAAAGTTTGAACCAGGGACAGGGTACTGCGACATAGTAACACAGTTGGTCTTTAATTTTTAACAAAAACCATTAATCATTGCTTGATATATTGCACGGTACAGGGTTCTTTTCTCAAAAAATTTTTTTGTTTTCATTTTGATGTCATAATAATGTGTTGAATCTGCTCATAAGTTTGCCTGATCGGATAATTCAAATGCAGCATAGCTGTAGATAGAAATGCATATCGGAAGGTCCGCGTTAGTGTCTTAAGCTTGGTTTCAAATCAGAGAAATTTTTGTCTCGGTGGATATTACATAGTAAATAATTCAAAGTCTGCTTTCGATCCTTTTTGTATTTTTGATCATTTTCCTTGTTTCTAAAAGAGATAGTGCAAAATTTACCATATAATGCAATTATATTTTTTTCCTAATTCGCTTTCTTCTATTCCAAACTTTCCCAGCCTTCTCGAACTTGCTTAGAAAATGACCTCAAGCAGTGCTGTCACTTTGAGCGGTCTAGCCATTGCTGAAAACTTCAAAATGCTTTAGAGTGAGTTCTTTAGCACAGCAGACTTAAACTGGAAGATGTATTCAGCTGCGGAAGCGAAGGGTACGCGTAAGCAAACTGATCAGAATTGCGCGTCTACAGAAAGTATTTGTGGATGCTGCACACTCGGATGTACACTGTCGATTGCTGAACGCCTATCTACTCGACCAAAATGCTGCTGACGGAGCATGCCAAATCGTAAGCAAGCGCTTTTTTATTTGGAAGCTTTTATCTGTTGTCGTGTTCATCGCGGTAAAACTTAGCTCATCCCCGAACGAAATACCCAAAAAAGACCTCGCTTATCTTTTTACTTCCTGTTTTCCAACTTGTGGCAAACCAAAATTCCAAGCGCGAGCTAAGATTAAAAATTCACAACAGTGCAAGCCCAAAATCCGAAATTTGACATTTGTCTTGAAGTAACCATTTAAAAGGCTCATTCAATAAGTGCGTTCGTTGAAAATCACAAAACTGCGATGATCCTCTTGCACGCTTCTTTAGTTTATTTTCGGGTCTTGCTTCTTGGCAGGTCTCGACAGGTAAAATCAGTTTCTCTTTACTCCCGTACGTTAGTTATTCCAGTGGAAAATTTATGTGAGTTTAATAATATTAGACAAATTTTCTAAAAAAAAACACATGTTTTTCGCATCCGTTCACGATCCATTCGCTTTTAAGTGCATTCACGGCCTACCAGTTCACAAGAAGAAAATGATTTTTACGAAAACTAATTAGATCTGAAGAAGTCTAACACTTGAACTTTTGTGCAAAGAGGGCGCAACGATTATTCTTCTATAGTTTGCAGGAACTCTATGGCTAACAAAGAAGACAACTGTCAAAAAAATCTTTCAGGTGAGCAACGTATATACAATCAAAGCACATACACGAGGTCGTGACCCGCATACGTGGATTTTCTCAACATCAGTAATTTTTTTCACTGTTTACTTCAAAGCAACATTTTTTAGGAAAATGTAAACCGCTGAAGAACTCACACTTCGTTATCAGTGAACTTTGTTGCTTCATTATTGTCAGTCCTATCTAACCCACAATTCATTTAATCAAACTGCCCGAAAGAAGTTCAGAAACTTGAGGATTAGAGACTACATCAGCATTTAACATATACTGTCATGAATCCCTTTCCTAACTAAAAGGAAAAAAAAAACTAATTTCAAAAGTTCACAAAAGTCACTTCGTTTCTTACGATTTAGTACTCATTGACCGAAGTAGCATTATCTTAAAAAACGGCATTTCTATTTCCCAATCAATTTAGACACTCGGCATAGCTTCGCTTGGCGCAAATTTTTGTTTTCTAGCACAGTTCCTATATTTGCTCGCCGAATTAATTTAATTTTTTATGCAGTTTTTATTCCCTAACAATTCAGACCTTGATAAATTCAAAGGGACAGGAAACATTTTGCAGTTACTTAAAATAATAAAACTTTGTACATTTCTTCTTTCTGAATAATTTTCGTCGAAATCGAGAAAATCACTTCGCTCTAACTGAGTTAAAAGCTA